AGGGTTGCTAGATTACAACAAAGCATCCAATCTGCCAGTCGAGACTTTACGACCCAACTCTAAACTACGTATGTTCGGCTTTAAGCAATTTGTTAACTTCTTCAACAATTACATCACTCATTTCTTTATTTACAGGTCTTCTTTTCTGTTTAATAGGTAAGAATGATGGATCAATATTAAGGCGATGCATCATCACTTTGGGGTCAATGTCTAGCATGTCCTTGCGACCATGCGAAGACATACGCATTAGCTCAAAGGAACTTGATGAGCTCTCCATTCTCAGTGGCCCCCAGTTTGATGCCTATTCTTACCTACTTTTCTGGCATTAGCAAGGGAACAAGCTCGAGCTCTTCCATCGGCATAGCGTGATCTAGATGAGGTGTTTTCAACAGGTCGATCTTTTGTTATAGCACACACGATCGAACCCTTGAGAGCTATTACATAGCATTCTCGTGAAGTTTTCTGTTCTCCTCAAACCACTCCGACCCCATTCAGAGTAGGATACTTCAGGCTTGGTGCACGGTCGAAGGTATTTCCTAAAGTGCATGGATGGCAGGTCGGCTGAATATAGCACTATAGGCGGACTTGCCATCCACAAAAAATGGTGTTAATGGCAACTGGTCGGTCGTCTCATCGAGGTGGCGTCCTTAAACACCATCCTTCATCTTTTGTTTCAGAAGAGTCTGATCTGGGTATGTCGACATATTTTTTGAAGTAACCATCATGTATAAGGTCTTCAATTTGGCATTTAAGCTCAAAGCAGCTCGAGGTATCATGGCTGTGGTCTCTATGAAAACTGCAATACCTCCTTTTGTCACGTTTTACAGGATCCCCTTGAGCAATTTCTCCATCACAGTCCCATCTATGCTAGTAAGGATCTCAGAGATTGGGATCGTTGTGGGGGTAAATCATTCATAAGGTCGGCCTCGACTTGTTCCAGAGTCTGAACGTCTATAGTTGGAGTTGCCTTGGGATGATTGGGATGCAGATCTCCTATATTTGGATTTCAAATCAGTAGTGCCCTTCTTAGGGCGGCTTTGCTTCTTTTAGTCAGACTTCTTCTTTGTCCAACCCGTTTTTGTTCTGAGTAACTCTTGGCCGTCAATGACTTTTTTGGCCTTCTGAAGCTTCTTAGAAAATGTAGCTGGAGCTTCTTCTCCCAACCTAACCATTAGTATTTCATCTGCCAGCCATGTCAAGAAGTAACACATTCATAAGTTGTCCGAGCAATAGGTGACCTTAAGATCTTCCTCTTGGAACCTGGTCACATACTTTTTTAGTGTCTCGCCCTCCTTTTGTCTAATAGTGGCGAGTTGAGTCGTTGTCTTTTTATCATAATACCGAGATGAAAATTGGTTGATGAATTCCTTTTTCAGTTGACTATAGGTCGAGATCGATCTGGCTGGCAACTTTCGGTACCATAGACGAGCACTTCCAATTAGAGCTATTTGGAACGCGCAACATTTGATGGCATCTATAGCTACCTGGAAGTCTATGAGGCCCTTGAAGACCTCAGCATAATGCTTTAGGTTCTTAGACCCATCAAAGGGCTTTATGGCGGGCGTTTTGAACTTAACAGGGATTGGTACCTCCAAGGTATCCTAGGTGAAAGACGATTTGTCCATCTTGACATAATCAAAGAGACTCCTTCTTCTCGCACTTCTATTTCAGAGCCTCGACCTGAGCATCGAATTTGCTCTTCATCATGTCAAACTCCTTCGTGCTAATCACCCCCTTACAACTTAAGAGGATTATACCGCGACTGGGCTTTATCGTTAGTATTTTTGTTTGACAAGCTTTGGAAGGCATCCACACCCTTTAGGATGGAACTCTTTCCTCTCTTGTCGGCCAAATACTTTTGCATATCACCCTCGCAGCGACTATAATCACCCTCGTCATTAAGGGGGTGGTTTTCATCAATGTCGTACTATTAGTTTCACCTTGAAAATGTTGCTCTTCGTCCTCTTCCTACTTTTGAGAAGGGGAGCCAGTTCTTGTTGCGCGCAGCAAGTTATTGTGTGATTCCTCCATGGTTCGTACTCTGATGCGCATGTCTTCGAGCTCGAGCTGCAGGGTTGCAAAGACACCACAATATACTTGGTGACGAGGCTTTTGTGTTGTTTTCTTCGTAGCTCCTCCTTGTGTTCAGTGTATATTTTCTCGTGGCGATGAGGAGCAAGAAGGAGAGGCAGGTGAGTGTTGTGAGCTGACCTGCGAAGTTGATCGCCTGCAGGATCACCTTGCACTCTATCCTCCCCACCTTTAGAATTCACCTTGGGCTGGGGATTCAGATCACCATTGTCAATACGACTGCTCGGGTGGCTCGACCAGTAGACACTACTGGTGGTGCCATTTGAGCTTCGGTAGTAGGAATGACTTAAGATGTCATTCCCACAGATGGTGTCAAATGTTTATGCATGAAACAGAACGAGGTAAGACTTGGTTAAGGTTGGACATGTGGAATGACTGACTTGATCTGTACCAGAGAGACAAATACTCTGATGCTCAAGTCAGTAACAGCTCGGACTAATTATTAAGCTCGAGATAGATTTCGATACCTATATGCTGAAGTGGTGCACTCTATTTATAGGATAGTAATCTGACAGTCCTTCCGACATGCGGTTATCGGTGTCGGATAGTATGTCAGACATGTCTCGAACCGTGGGTCGGACCTGAATGTTGGTCACCGTGGAATGGTTCCCTAGTTATGGTCAAATATGCCACCTCGGATCCGTCTGGGGTTGTTCGACTTTTCGGGAATGTCAATGTGGACTTCTCTTTTTTCTCCACGTGGCGATGTAATTTTACCCAAACAAAACCATATTATACAAATTTACTTCTTAAATGGTTACAGTTTAAAATTGGTTAATCTTTTAATGACTTTGCATTTATAGATTTTGTAGTGAAATCATACTTATAGTTTAAAGGTGGTTTGTGCTAATATATTTAAAGGTTTATTTGCAATAATTTTATAAGTTTAAAGAATGATTAATCAAATTGAAAGTTCAAGAGTGCGATATTGTAGCAACTGCTCTATATAGTTCAATAAGCATGAGTTTTGCAACCTTTACTATGAAATAAAAATAGGAGTAAACAAAAATAATGAATTCGTTGTTGCCAACTTACTGGTTTTTTAATTTTGTGATTCGAAGACTTATAAATGTTAGGCTAAATATATGTTTTAGTTCCTAATATTTAAAAGATTTCAATTTGGTCTCTTATATTTTAACATTTCTCGGGTCATACTTTTTCCATTGACGAATGTAAAAATTAACTGATAATAATATTTAGTGAGTTGGATTTTTTTTCTTTTTATAACAAATTTGGCTATCTAACTGAACGAAAATCAATTTATTTGCCAACTAAAAAATTTGGAGGAGACATTGAAAGCTTTCTCCCCTCACGTGGCAGAGTTGTTACTCTAAATTGATGTAATCTCCCGGAGTATCAATGTCAAGGTAAGTTGTTTGTCCACCAATTTGACATTCACCGATAGAAAGTATAATTTCAAATTTTAAAACATAAGAGACTAAATTGAAAATTTTTAAATATCAAGAATAAATTTAGAAAACAATCAAATATTCGGAAGGTTTTCTCCACCGCCTATCTTTCTCCTTTGTATATAAATTTTTGGGAATTCTAAGTCTAAGGTTAATGGGTGATTGTAGAGTCGTAGAGTTCATCCTATGGAAAGCCTCTCATCCACCAATTAGTAAGTGTTGATTGATAGATTTGAGCAAATCAGAAATTACGACGTAATTATAATGATAAAATTATATGCCATTAAATTGAGTCCAATTAAATAATGTCACATATTATTTTTGGGCATTTGAATTCGACCAATCAAATAATGTTATGACCATATGATGACATAAGTTGATCTAATAAGATTGCGCTGACATATAAATTGGTCGAATCAAAATTCGCCATGTCGATGACATAAAGTGATCCAATTGGATTGTGCCACGTGGCAATGAACTTCTAATTAGATGGGTCCAAGCTCACTTAAGGCTCATGAAAAACCCTATAAATAGAGGGGTTCATTCACCATCTAATTCATCGTGGAAATGATCAGATAATCAAAATCATTCATCTTGCAGATTATCAAAATTCTTCATCTTGCRGATGATCAAAATCCTTCATCCTACCGACGATCAAAATCTTTCATCCTGCATAGGATCAAACTCCTCCATCGATGATCAAAATTCCATCCTTGATAGGGTCAAGATTCATCATTCTGCATATGATCAAAATCCTTCATCCTAGAAAGGATCAAGATCCTACCGACAATCAAAATCATTCATCCTGCAGATGATCAAAATTTTTCATCCCGCAAATGATCAAAATTCTGCATCATGTAGATGATCAAAATCTTTCATCCTATAGACGATCAAAATCTTTCATCCTGTAGATGATTAAAATCTTTCATTCTACTCATGATCAAAATCCTACATCGAAGTCTAATAGGCCGATTGAAATCAACAAGCCGCCAAGAGACCGATCAAGATCAACAAGCCGCCAAGAGGCCGATCAAGATCAACAAGCAACCAAGGGAAATAATTAGAGGATAAATATTAGAGATTGTACGAACCTCAAAATATCAATACAAATTGTATTTAGTCCACGAAATATAATTTCTCCGGAAATCTCGCGTGAACAAATTGGCACTTCCAGTGGGATGATCTTTACCTCTCATCTCTTTCTTAAGAATCAAAATTTTACGAGATAAAGTAATGACAATATAGAAAATCTTCTCATTAAACTTTCTCCATGATAATGAGAAAAAAGTATGAAGAAGATTGCTCCTCATCGCAAGAGCTTAAACTGCATGGTGCTCCTTCCTCGCATGAGCACATAAAATAGGAGGTAAAATTTTTCTTTTTAATTGAACTACATTATGACTTGATCCCTCTTTTTAAAGGATACATATACAACGTAAAGAAAAGAAAAAGTTCAGTCTACCTGAAAAAAAGTGTGACTATATGAATTATAAATTGAACATGGTTATTGTTGGACGCTATATGGAGGTGATCACCATTGAAGTAGGCGAGCAAAGGATCCTTGCCAAGGATAGGCAATGGAACTGTTTATGCAAGGATTTGCACAACAGTGTGTTCCTGATTGTAGCTCGAACTCGGCCTCCGGACCGACCTGAACACTTGGGCGGACCTGCACAAAA